AGCTCCGTCGGTGACGATGGCGATGACGCGCTGCCCTCCGCCGCCGACCGCGTGTTGTACGGCAGAATCGACGGGACTCGCTTCCGCTGTTTCCTCCGTCTCACCTTGAGAAACAAAGTAAATGCCAAAAAAAAAAAAAACAGTCAGCGTTTCCTTCTCTCTTCCTTGAATAGAAACTGAAGCCGAGTGACAAGGCGGCTTGAGCAGAGCGTCTGCTTCGGAAAACGACCTGGAAATACAGCCTCAGTCGGGGAAAGGAAAGAAAATCCACTACACCGTCGCAAAACAAGTCTTCTAGAGTAAACCCAGCATTTTTGTGTGAATTAATAAGTACTAGCAGACAGAATATTCGTTAAATTAAGAAGCCTGGAGCTGGAGGCAGCTGCTAAGCAGACCTGGCTCTGCAAAGCCTCCTTCCACAACCCTTCCCCCAGCTCTAACGGAGACGAACCACATGGAAAACAACCCTTCGTGCCCCAGGAGCCCCATCGGTGGCCACCACGGCCACGAGGACACTTGTTTAGTTTGGCCAGGTGACCGCAGACCGCTCTGCTCCCCGGGACACTTTGTGTGTGGCTCAGCCCAACAATCGGGATCGCAAACCCTGGGCTGCATCCTGCTCCCAGCCTCCGCTGCGAGCGCAGGAAACAGGGGATGCGACCCGCTGCGCGCGTCTCGGGTGCCAAGGAGGAAAAGGCTGGAGCGCCGCAGGTCAAGGAACCGGTGGTGGGGCACCAGCAGCTTAAAGAAGTCCAGTTGCTCATTTCTGGATTCTAGGAAAAACACTTAGCTTTGGGGAAAATAAAGGAATTCCAAGGCGAAAGGATTGTATAAACTTTTATCAAATTTCTAAATCTGAAGTTCATTAAAGGTCAAACATTGCACTCCACAAACAAACACAAAAAATGCCCAAACCTTTCCGTAAGAAAAAGTTACCGGAGTCTCAAGAGACTCCGAACGTTTGCTGACCACCAACATTTCACCGCTAACCAGGGACAGAAAACTTTACAGTCTCCTTCTTAAACAAGTATTTATCTACGTTTATATATTAAAGTAAACCCACGCTCTGGAGCGTTGGGTGTGGGGTTTTTACTTTTTTCTGTAACTTTTAAAGCACGTCAAGAGCAACACACTGTGATGCCGGGGTCAGACGTGCTGCTTAACAAAAACGACGTCACCTCTTTGGGTAACAGAGGCTGGTTTTTTAATTAAGCTTGAACTAGGATTAAATAAACAAACAAACAAAATTAACCCCCTGCTTCACAAATACTTATCACCATCTCTTCCTTACTCTGAAAGAAGGCAAATTCACTTCCACATCTTCAATCTCCTCCGATTTCCTGGCAAGATTCTCGCTGGAGCTACACGGATTTGAATCGGCCCCTGACCCGTCTCCCCTACCTGAGTCTCTGCCCGAGTCGGAAAGCGGTGCCGATACTTCGGCGAGGGCCGCAAGCGTGGCGAGCACGGAGGTGGTCGAGTTGGCAAACTGCACCGTGGAGACGTGGGAGCCACCTGCGTGGGAAAGACCAGGGTGAACTGAAAGGCTGCCAGGACCTGCCGTGTCCAAACAACCAATGCGGAATGCGATAATTCCGTCATCTGGAGGCCAAGGCTTCAGGTACGAAGTATCTTCTGGGCTCAAAAGGAGGTGGTACAGACCATTTTTCATGAGAGGTGCCTCTACTTACCGTAAAAAGGGCTTTGATACCACTTTAGGACTAACTGTACCCACTCTGAATACTTTATGATCATTTTAATCAAATTTAAAGCAAATATTACGTTATTTCTGAATCACGTAACAAGAAGAATAGCAAACGTGAGCCGATAGCTCCAGCTTTATGGAAAGCACTACAGGAAGGCAGGCTGCCTGCCAGGCTGCTTGGCATGCCTGCAGCCGTGGACGGCTTTTCGAGACGCAGCCACGGTGCCCAACGACACTTGGTTTCAAGGTACTGGGCGTGCAGGTCCTCTCCTCCTCCTCCTCTCAGGTTTAGTAAGTTACTGCAATGGGGTGTTGATTTGAATGAGAAAAACAAACCTTCTCGGTTCCAAAAAACAATGTTTCTTCCTCCAATTGACCACAGCAATTCCTTTTCCAAGGCAGACTCAATAAGAATGGAACAGGAAATTAACTAACCAGGCGCAAACTCACTGCATATAACCCACAATTCCTCTTAAAAAAAAAAAAAAAAAGAAAAAAAGGGATCCTGTGCCTGATTGCCAGCATAGATAACAGATTATAAGCACACAAAGGGAAGTCAATCTAAAATTCCCCTGCCTTAACCCCTGCAACAGATGTTCTCTTTCTCAGTGGCTGCTGATTTTACAAAGGTTGAGAGACTTTACTTACCGGAAGACGAAGGGAATTTAAGAGAGGCAAGAACAATTATTGGCTGTGAGCACTAAATAAGAGATTTTTGTTACAATGGAGGCGCAGTCGCTGATGCCCTCTCGTGGGAAACGAGAGAAAAGTCTTCTGACGTGGCCCAGAGCAGGAGAGGGCGGCTGTTTTCACCCTGACTGGCTACTACCAACGCTTGAAGAGTCACGGAGGAAAATCCCGGGGTTTTCTAGCCCAGTCACACGTGGAAATAAGCCACTCCAGGGCTGTGAGCACTGAAAAAGGTGATTATGTTGCAAGATATACCAGGAGAGATGTGGCGAGGGGTGGGGATGTACAAGGCCAGTGCCGAGAGCGCATCTGGACCGCTGCTCACCCACACACCGTGGATGGATTCGAGGGGCTCAGGGTGAGCGGCATGCTTAGCCCGGCCAAAGGCAGAGAGGGGACAGGAACAATTTCCACATCAAAGGGATGGAGGCATGGAAAAAGAAGAATTATTTCAGCTAAGGGCTGCATTCGCACCAGGAGAAGGTCTAAACAGGCTGTGGATGTGTTTCAGCTGGAAGCGAGCAGCTTTCTAACAGCCTTTCAGCAGGATGTTGGCCTCTGGGGCTCCCACCAAGAGACGGTGATGCTGACCGCGGCAGCGGTGTCACCCAGGGTACAAAAATCCCAAGTTTTAAGCCCCTTTGAGTTTGCAGAATATCCTTGACCAAAGATGATGTGCGCCAGTCACGCTGCGCTGTCCTCACAGGTGGAAGAGAAACACTTTTGGTCATTCTTCCCCTTCTAAATTAGGATTTATCAGTGCCTCAAAGCTGCAAGAGCAAGTCTGGAGCGTTGCTGAAGTCGCTGTGGCCAGGCACAGGCAAAGAGGTCTGGGTGGGACCACAGAACACCAGTACCTGGGATTTTAAAAGCACTCTCTAGCTACTGAGCAAACATTCATGCATGTGAACAGTCCCACTGACCAAAGAATTACTCACAGCAGAAGTGTTTGCAGGATGAGGCCAAACAGCTTCACAAAACTTGTGTTTAGTAGCCTCCTTGAGACTGAAAAGAAACAATGGTTTGGATTTCCCCAAATACAGACAATTCACTTCAAGAGTTATTGCGAAAACTGGAATTACACAAAAAGAATTCGCACTCAGCCTTGAGTTAAAAGTGCTTTCCCCACCAAAATAAGGCTCGCAGAACAATGAGGAACCTAATTATTTCCACCTAACGTGGGACAGAAGAAACAAGGAGTAAGCCACATACCCAACAGACCTGCTTATTCTGCAATTTCCTCAGTCAACATTTATATATAGCAAAACACTCATCCAACTCTTGGAGCCAGTAAAGAACAAAGCAAACCGCTCCGCAGCGCTCAGGATTTGGCACGGGCAGTAATTCTCGTTATTCCTCTGTTGCAATCAGCCAGATCCATTTTCTCAAGCTCTGTTGCTCGTAACAGCCCTGGAGCAGCCCCACAGCTGAGCTCAGCAGAGCTCTGCCACTCACAGTGGAACCACCTTTACTGACATCAGCTAGAAATCTGCTCTGTTACCTTCGACAGCAAAAATATTCCGGGGCAGGAAGCAGGAGCTGGGTGTGTTTGCCTGGATTTCACCACTTCTCTACTAAATGGCCATGTGCCCTCTACTGGTAAATAATCTGAAGCACTTTTTCCAAGACTTTCCTACTCGAGGTGATATAAAACCTTACCTGAGGTTGTTTTGGCGTTTGCTGAAGAGACGAGACCCGTGAGACTGAGAACTTCTCCTGGTGCAAGAATAAGCGGTGAGGTGAGCGTCACAGTGTTGGCGATGGGCTCCGTTCGCTCCGGATGAGCGTTTACCTGGTTCTGCATTGCTTCCTAGGAAAGGAAGTGGGGTCAGCCACATGTTCGTCACGCTTTCTGCGGTATTTAGCATCCTTAAAACATTTTAGAAGCAGATTATTCCTCTCTGCAGCACTGGTCAGGGTCACCAGTGCAAAAGCTGTGACAAAACTGACACCTAAACTTGGCAACTTACGCTACCACTGTGCAAAATGCGCGGCAACAAAACCCCATGGCCCTCTGAGTCCTACAGACACACACTGGTTGATGCAGAAATAAACCAAAACTCATCCACCTCCGTATTTCTAGTGCTCTCTGCACACAGAAAGCGATACCACTGGAGACACGAGATCCCTCTCGCTCCAGCGCAGACACAGCTGCGAGTCAGAGAATCACCGACGAGTTTCGCCGTCCTCGACCCACCTGCAGCATGACGAGAGTCTCTGGATTGTTCTTGTCCAGAGCGATATCGAAAGGCGACTTATCGAACTTGCTGAACGCGTGGACATCGGCTCCGTACTTGATGAGCAGCTCCACGACGTCTCGGTGGTTGTGCTCGGCGGCCCAGTGCAGAGCCGTCATTTTCAGCATGTCCTTGGCGTTCACATCGGCCCCGTTCTGCAAGAAATAACGTTCTAAAGGTGCTGCCTGCGCCCATTTACACAGGGACACCAGCACTTCACTCCACGGGCCGTTTAGACCAGCCCTAAAGCGACGCCTAATTGACTACACTTACCCTAATTAGCAGCTCCACAATGCGAGCGTGTCCGTCAGCCGCAGCCATGTGCAGTGGCGTCCGGTCCACTTTTGTTCGGGCATCTCTGCTAACACCAGCTCGGAGCAGCACTTCGGCTGTCGAATAGTGGCCATACTGGGCAGCCAGGTGAAGAGGCGACGTCCCCAGCTGCGTGTTAATTTGAAAAGAGTTACTGTCAGTTCTGGACAGGCACAGTAACCGCCTCGTGTATGTCCGGCAGTAATTAAAAATATCAAAGCTTCTGCAATAAATTAATTTAACCTTTTTTTCTCCACTTGGAAATAAGGGGCTGCACATCCAACAATCTTCCCAACAAACGTTAAACTTTTTAAGGATCTTTACATCAGCTGATAACTTGAAGATCAAACACGCTTTCCAGTTCTCCACTGCGCCATCCATTTATCACTGAGCTGCTTTTCCAACAGCAGAACACCTCTCCCATTTCTATTTCGCAGCAGGTGACTTCCCTGCTGTCCAGGAAAGGGCAGTGTTACAACAGAACCGGGATCTGCTACCGCTGGATCCAGTTAATTCCTTCATCTCCCAAAGTTATGAAGGAACAGACTGGTAAGTTCAGAAACGAAGACAAATGGTGATGGAAAACAGCTAACGAACGCCTGTTCATTAGACTCAGGTTCCCTGTTTATATAAATGTTATTCTTCAGTTTTGTTACAGCTTTTATTCCCTTTCTAACCCAGGCTGTTGGGTTTTCTAAAGAACCAAAAAAAACCCCTCCAAAGATGAGTTTCTTGACTGAGGGAGTTTAAACAATTAAATAAAACATTCTTCAAAGAACTTCCTCTTGCTGAGAGGTTTAACGGTTCTCCCAGTCTGAGCTGACTCATCACTTATCTCAGCTGTTGGGAACTGCACTTCCCAAAGCACCAAACCGGAGACACATCGCTGTCCGAGACAGCACGGAACTCGTGATTGTGCTCCGTGCATTAGGCTGAGATCCATCTTTGCACAACTGTCAATTCAGCTTTGCCTGAGGAAGGTTTTGGGTTTTAAAGTGCTTCATCTGGAACCTGCTCCACCTCAGAAATCCAGAGATGTACCTTCTGCCAATCCACACTCCGGTTTTACTGCTGCAATTTCCTTCTGTGTCCTTCAGGTTCAGCCCTAAAAAGCACAGGCACAACCCGTATTGCACAGAAAACCCGACGTCTGCCCTCCGACGTACCCAGTCCGTGGTGAACGGCGCCCCGCTCGCCATCAGCTTTCTCACTTCGTCATCTTCGCCCTTGCGAGCCGCTTCCAGCAACCTCTTCCCCAGGTCCACCAAGGACATCTTCACACATGGGAACAAGTGTTTGCCGCGAGCTGCTTTGAAAGGTGGAACGGAAAACAAACAAAAAGCAGGGAGGCAAAGACATTTTAAAAGCGCTGCCCATCTGGACGCACCATCTTCCCACACAGAACCCAACACGACCCATAAACAGGCACAAACGTGTATCACATTTTCCAGTTCCGTGCCCCGAAACGTCACGAGAAGGCAGCGCGTGGCTCAGACGCCACGAGCCACCAGAGCTCCTGCAAAACCCTGCTCACCTCAACAGCACCTGGCACGGACACGACGACTGGCCCATGTGGATCCAGTTCCAGGAGCAGAACCTGTAAAATCAACGGCAAAGCTGCTGGCGCTCCTTGCACACCACCTTGGGTTTTAAAGCACTTTATGGACACGATTTCTCCAAGACACTCACGCCGGCGCTTGCAACCGAGCACGGGGGAAATATCCCTGTTCTCTGCTGGTAGAGGATAAACCAACCCTTGGTAACTCTGGTGACTTGTTCAAGGTCAAAAAAGGAGCAGAACCCCAAAGCCGCGCTCCGCGTACCGGAGAACAGTGTCTCTATTTATTCCAAACTACACAAACCACAGCAGAATCACGGCAATAGTGAACTACGGCATTTTTCCCGACGGCAGGGCTGCGCTGGCATGGCAGTCCCGTCACAGACCGACGTTCAACTCTGCCCATCGACTCGTGTACGACGCTCGTAAGCGGCTACAAACCAACGTCTGCGCGAACGGGCACCGTGCCACCCCGCGCAACGGCGATTCCGACAGCACCGAGCCCCTCGACTGACTTTTTTTCCCTTCAATTACAGTTCTATGAAATAGTTGGAATGTTCCATGTCTTCTTTCTCATTATCTTGTTCTTTCAAGAGAAACACCCCACCCTGTCCTCCGCAACCAAGAGAACCGGCTACCAGTAGCCCTCACCCCTCAATCCCACCAGGATACACCGCCCACGTCGTCTCCCTCCACAAACACATCTCACTTCCTAAGACCATTCCGCAGGCGCGGCTTTTTCCGAGCAGTTATTCCACGCAACATCTGGGGCCGGTAAGAGCCCAGCGCAGTTACTCGGTCCCCTCTGCCCTTTAGGACTTTCCACTTTGGGGTTTTTTTCCCCCCTTTTGGACAGAGAACAATTTTTTTTAAACATTCCTTCTTATGGCCCGCGTTGAAAACACGTGCGTGTTTTCCGAGCGGTTCGCCGCACCGAACTCCGCGTTGGCAAAGTCGACCACCAGCTGATGGATCTCTGGGAACGGCGTCGCCGCTCCGGGCGCGTTCGGAAAAGGAAGCGGCTGGATCGTTCACAGAAAGCACCAGTTTTGCTGGATCCGTTCTCCTCCCCGTATCGAACCGAACCTTTCCCACTTGTGGAGGCCTCTCCCAGTGTTCCCACTCGCTTCCCGGCGGGATGCTGCCAGGGAGGCCTTTTCGCTCCTGATTTTAAGTTATTTCCAGCATTTGCACGGGACTGCGGCTGAC